GCCTGTAGTCCCAGCTACTCTGGAGGCTGAGGCAAGAGAATCGCCTAAGCCCAAGAGGTGGAGGTTGCTGTGAGTTGTGATGCCACAGCACTCTACTGAGGGCGACAAAGTGAGATTCTGTCTCAAAAAAAAAAGCTCTCATTTTAGATTATCTAGTTGTAGTTTGCTAAGCTAACTATAATTGTTTTATTCAGCTTTCTTGAATTATATAAACTAGTCACTTCATTTTATATATTTTTTATTAATAGACTAATTCCATTTTTTATTTGATTGACTCTCTGTGGAGTGTGGGCTTACAGTGAAAACAATAGGAGTTTTCACAAAGCAGTTTATAAGCATATAATACCTTCCAGCAGGCTCTAATCCTGTGCTGCTAATCCAATTTGTGTTTAAGTAGTTCCTTCATGTCAAGGATGGTACCACCAGCTCACCTTCTCAAGCATGGATGATGGAAAGACTGTCTCCATTCCCCTCTTATATTCTCCTTTTGATTGCTAAACAAATGAGGAGGTGTGGGGCTGGCTGTCTAAGGCACTGCTTGGTGGGCTATGACAAAGATATGCCAAGTAGGCTCAGTGAGTAGGGCACTAGCCACATACACCAAAGGTGGCGGGTTTGAGCCCGACCCAGGCCTGCTAAACAACGACAACTAAAAAAAAAAAAAAAATAGCGGGGCGCGGGGCAGGTCCCTGGAGTCCCAGCTACTTGGGAGGCTGAGTCAGGAGACTCGCTTGAGCCCAGGAGTTGGAGGTTGCTGTGAGCTGTGATGCCATGGCACTCTACCAAGGGGAATAGCTTGAGGCTCTGTCTTAAAAAAAAAAAAAACAACTCTCATTTCAGGGTGGCTGTGGCTCAGTGGATGGGGTGCTTGCCCCATATAACAAGGGGTGGTGGGTTCTAACCTGGCACTGGCCACCTAAAACAGCAGTGACAGCTGTAACAAAAAATAGCCGGGCGTTGTGGCAGGTGCCTGTAGTCCCAGCTACTCTGGAGGCTGAGGCAAGAGAATC